GAATCCGAGGCGTATTCACTTGAATACGCCCTGAATCCGATTGAATACCCTGTAGTTGGGTCCGGGGCGGAGTCTTGTACTTAACAACATGGAAGAAAGTTAGGATTTGCAGGCACTCTCCCCGAGCCCAAGAACCCATGCCATTCTGAAAGTACCCACACCTTCCCAACGCTGAGATTTAGAAGAAAGGCGTGGATACATGGGGGGGTACCATATATATATATATGTATATATATATATATATGTATGTATGTACGTATGTATATATACATATACAGAGCGAGAGAGAGAGAGAGAGAGTGTGTGTGTGTGTGAACATATGTATGTATGTATGTATGTATGTACATATATATATATATATACTCCCATATACTCCCTATAGTGCTGTATGGGTTGAGAGGGACAGCCCGTGCTTGTGTGTACGTGCGTGATTTTTCGCTTATCGTGCTTGTTGAGTTTGTACACAAATGTGTACCCTATCTGTATATCGCACATGTCTTTGGTAGGCTACTCTGTGACGTACATGTGCGCGCACACATACACGTTGGTTTCTTTTTGTGGTGCATCAAGCTGCTTGTCTACTCGCTTGCATGTATTTGTTTGACAGGATGTTGTCCACAGAATCGCCTGGTGCGCGCATGCCACTCCGGCCTCCATCCCCCGATCCAAATCGAAGGTCTTTGGGGGCCTGATTTAAGAAGCAAGCCCACATCCCTTTTTTTGCATGTTCTTCGGCCTCGGTCCAGTCGGAGATCATCTCGGCCTCGGCTCCCGCTCCGCTCGGATCCCTTTCGCTTCTGAGGTGTCCGAGTCCCTGACGAAGCTTCGGTAGCAATCGGATCCGTCCTGAGGTCCCGGGGAGGCGAATGCAACCGCATGGGGCGTCTCAACGTCCCTTCGCCTTGGGAACCTGCAGCTGCGAGAAGGAGTTGACCTCGTAGCTGCGCTTGTCTCAGAGTCTATGCACAACAAGGTGCAACAGTGATCCCTTCAAAGATGCCGTTCCGGACATGATGTCTCGAGATGACTTTTGCAAGCAAATGACTTCACCAACTAGACATGCAGCCGCACCACCTGAAGCGGCACCATCGCAATTGGAGGAGCGCAACTCACTTGTTTAGAAAACAGGGACTCCACCGGCCGTTCACTACGTTCTGAGTGATTCCACCGGGCCCCGCACACGATAACGTCGTGTCAACGTCTCCCTGGGACAGGAGCAAAGTAGGCAAAGGAGGCGAAGGCTGGTGGGCCTAACTGGGCCTAGCTCCGGGAGCCTCTTCGCACCGAGGGGACACGCAAGCTGAGCTTCCGGGCTCTATGCACCAAAGCCGTTCTGCGGCGCAGCTCGTGCTTGCGGCAGTGACCTGAACGATTTCGAGAGCCTGTAGCCGGGTTTCGACAGGCTTTTGACATCAGCCTCCAATGCTGCAGCAACGGCAGCCAAACGGACTTCGGCGAGAGTGCGGCGTGACGACTCGCCTCAAGAAGCGTCGACTCCTTCTGCTGTGCAATCAAGCTTGATGGCACCTTGGCCCTCTTTGCGGTCAGCAGCCTGCGACGAGACTTAGCGAAGGGGCAACTGTCAGAAATGGGTTCACCTGCACGATCTGTGTGGATCGACTGTCGAATCGATTGTTGCAACTCTGACACAACTGCTCTCCCGTTGTGCCAGGCTAAGCGCATGCTGCTTTTGCCATTCGTGCAGTTGCTGCATCATGGAATACAGGCGAAATGCACTACAAACCGAGCTTGCTGTGATGTGTTTGCCGCATTCCTGCTGCTGCTTGATGCTCACTGTCATCGCAGATGCAATCACCCAAATCACCATCACAACGCCATGGTCATCATAATCATCATCATCATCATCAACATCATCATCATCATCAATTCCCATCAGTAATCATCAGTAATAACATCACGGTCGCCGGCACCATCCATCTGATCATCGAAGAACACCCTGGAGTCGTCATCATCATCATCATCATCATCAAGCAAGCAATCAAACAATCGACCAATCATCATTGAACCGCAGTTTCATCACCATCACCAGCAGCAGCACACTCATTTCATCATCATGGTCATCCACGAAACCATCTACATCACCATGGCTATCATCATGGCAGACGGCATCTTTGAGTAACAACACCGACAAGGACGACAGACGACGACGACGACGATGGACGACGACGACGACGATGACGACGCCGACCACAACAACACCAACAACGATGGCAACAAGGGGGTCATCATCATTTGCCGAGATATACAGCATAAACAGGACCGTCACCAACACCATCAGCCGCGATCATCATCATGGCCATCTTCACCACCATCATCATCACGGCTATCACTCTCATCATCAGGGCCGTCATGCTACCATCGATGGCAGTATTTCCCCTACTTAAGGCTCTCCTCCTCGTTTCAGTGGTGGCGGTGGTGCTGGTGGTGCTGCTGCTGCGCATGGTAACGGCGGGCGTGATCGTGGAGGTACTGGTAGTCATCATGGCCGTGGGATGGGATGCTATAAGGTTGCACTGCAAAGCTGTTGCTGCTGCTGCTGCTGCTGCTGCTACTGCTGCTGTCATTACCGCCGTCAGAAACAGTGGACACTAGGGCAGGAAAAGAAGGAAAGAGGGTAATCTCAAAACGAAAGTTAGTCAGTAACCGTCCGGGCACCTCGGCCGCCGCGACCTGCGCCCAGAAGTGTCGGCACAGACCTTCCCACCGCTGCGAGGGCCTGCCGTCAGAAAGTTCTTGGCATCGACAAGGCTACCAGGACGAGGGTGCGCAATGGAGCAAACAGTTGTCAACAACACTGACATCCATCATCCAAACAACAAAACTACCTTGGACACCGAAGCAAGGCTTTGCTGCATCGGAAGACCCAGTCGATTCTAGAAAATCACATCGACTCTGCGCATCAAGGCTACCACGCAGACTGGCATCAGATGCAGTGAGAAGGTCATGGCAGCACTTGCTTCCATTCCCTGACTTCTGATCATGTGAAGGACCAGCTTGGTTCAAACCGTACACTGCTGATCCAAATCTCAATCTTACTAGTTTGACCATCACTTTTGCCAAACAAAGCAGCCATTTCCATAGCTGTTGCCAACGCGGGGGGTACTTTAACACTATGAACTGCTATGACGACGCGTGACTGACTAGCACAAATAATTTCCAGTGCTTCCATCATTCCCAGCGTGTACAAGTACAAAAGCACCTCTCAGACTCCTGGAGATGGCCCTGTGCTAGGGCCAAGAGCAGCGGTGCCTGAGCACAGTGCCGTGAGGACGTCTTGTCACGAGAACCACACTGGCTATTCTTGTCATTCAATCTGAGATCATGATCCTTCCTCCTCCTCCTCCTGCTACTACTACTACTACTCCTCCTCCTCCTCCTCCTGCTGCTGCTTGCTGCTGGTGCTGCTGCTGCTGCTGCTGCTGCTGCTGCAACTGCTGCTACTACTACTACTACCACCACTACTACTACTGCGACTACTGCTACTACCACTACTACTACTTCTACTACGACGACTACTACTACTACTACTACTACTACTCCTGCTGCTGCTGCTGCTGCTACGACGACTACGACGACTACGAACACTACTACTTCGATCTCACGACGGCAACGACAAGCTTTCTATGTCTGACGGTTTGTATACCAACAAACCTAAATCCTGAACCCGAAACCCCAAGCCAGGTGAAGCCTGGAGTGTTCCAGGACCTCAATTGCAAAGGCTCCAAGGACGGCACTAGTTCAGCTTGCTTCATGCGAAGCTTCCCAAGCAGATTCCTGATCCGGTCCTCCGCACGCCCGCAAGTGGCATGATGATTGACAAGTGATGAGAATGTTGATGGTGTCACGCTAGGCAGTCAATTTGCGTTCCAACTGCCATGACTGAGCTGTAACGCATCGGGAAATCGGCTGCTTATCTTCGTCAGGACACAATCGTCTTCAAAATTCCAGGCTCTTTCTGCCTGTGCTGCCGCGCCCAGCTCGACGTCGGTGGAGGCGACAGCATCTGAAAGTAGAACAACTCAATAAACTGCACTTGCATGTATGTGTGTCACTCTCTCCATCACTCCTTCTCCCCCCTTGTCTTGTCCTTGCTCATTCGCTCTTTCTGAACTCGCCTCCCAGGCTCCGCTCCACAGCATCGGCCCAGTAGGCGCCGAGCTTTGGCAAGCGGCCTGCAAAGCGCACAGGGCGACGGAATGTCAGACTGACACTCGGGGACCAGCCTTGCCGCAGCCATTCAACCCGCACCTGGGACAGCACCCGCCAAGGCCTATTGCCTGCTGCAACCGTATACTTCAGCTACAGTAGCAAAGTTTGCACACACGTCTGCTCCCCGAGCAGAGAACGACAAAGCGCATGTAATGAGTCACAGAATCAGCCAGGGTGAGTACCCACATCCCCACTGCAGCATCCACTGCCGCATCTGCGACGTCCTCGCAGCATCTTTCGTCGCAGTGTCTACTCTGCTGACTTCGTAACACGTGCCGCGTATGTGACTTCGCAGCTAAAGAATGAAGAACGTGGACATGCGAAAAGAGCGCTGCCAACAGGGGCTGACAGGGGCAGATGCAGCATGAACAGCGGAGTGGCAATTCCAACGACTGATGCCACGAACGAGTACGTCGAGCCATGGCGAAGGGAGAAAGTGAGAAGACTGCGGCGTTGAAGCGGAAGTCGATCATCTCAGAAGCTCCTCCAGGGGGAGGTGCCGAAGCAAAGCAGCCTGTCAGGTACAAGGTTCAGCATTCGGACATCAGGCAGTCAAGACGTTCAGCCTTCACCCGTCGCCGGCAGCCTTCGAAGCCACCCCTTCGTGCAAACGAGCACAGGCTCTTCGAAGTGCCCGTGGGCTGCTTCGGGATCTCTCACGGCAGAGCTTGGCCTCGGTGCTCGGCTGGACCAACTTCGCGTGCTGGGATTCTCCTCGCTGCCAGCCGCAGCACCGAGGTCCTCGAGGAAAGGCTTCTATTGTTTTCTGTAGAAGAATGAAGACTTTCTTGGCCTGCCGCAGTGCCCACAAAAAGGCGGCACGATGCCGGTACCTCACATTCAAGCTGGCCACAGGATACAAGAAAGAGCGGAGAGCTTGCGATGCTTGAAGCCCAAGCTGCTGTGGAAGGGCCACACAGGCAGCATACAAATGCGAGCAGCAGCTGAGACCTCGCGGAGGCGGAGCAGCTTCGACTGAAGGAGCGAGCGACAGCGCACGCTGCGCGCGCTGCGCCGGGCCCCCCCCCAAAGGGCCCGGGCTGTTTGGGCAGTTGCACTCGAAGAGCCCCATGTCCACGCGCCGACCTTTTTCCAACTCTTCTTCGGTCTTTTCGGTACATGGGCGCATTCTCAGTCACGGGCAGTTGTCGCTGTAGGAGTGTGAGAAGAAGACATCCTGGGTTCAGCCAGAGAGCTTTGCTCAGAGACTCTTCCTTGACCGTAGCACGAGACATTGAAGTATGAGGAGTTGGCCGGCTCACCATCATCTGCTGGCCGCACCCCGTCCTGCAGACCCCGTAGTGGCCGTGGCCGTAGTGCAAAGACCGCACAGGTGGAACCTCCATCTCTCCGATCTCCCATCCCTGCACAGGGCGACGGGTAGCGGGCAGCGGTCTCCACTCAGTCCAGGCTGCCTTGCCTTGTTTCGGACGCCGGAACCAACGCTGAATCCCAGCTCCTCTGCAAGCAGAGCAACGGAAGCAGAGAGCTCAAAAACAGCTGAGACGCAGATAGACGACCGCGCCCCCCGGGCGGCCCTGGGCTCCTCCGGAAGCCTGGCCTGCAGCTTCTTCGCAGAGCGCGGCGGCGCCTACGAAGGAAGACGCTCAATTGGGCTCTGCGTCTTGGGCCGTGGCCCTGCTTTCCCTTTCAAAGGCTCAGCGGCCCGACTCGGCCCTAAGCTTTGTTTCTGCTTCGCTCTGCGCATCGGCGTCTTCATCGCGCTTTCCTTTGCAGACACGTGACCAAAAGGATCCCAAAGCGCAAGGGAAGCGGGCAAGCGGAGGAAGGGCTGCCAGGATGCGCTTGAATGGCCGCATAATCGGCTCGCAGAGCTTGTCGAGGCGCTCTCTCCGCGCCGCAGTGTCCGCCACGACCTCTCCGAGGGGACCAAGAAAGAACGGAGAAACTGAGCTCAGCCGAGTTCAGACGGCCGCAGAACACGCCAAGACGCCCTCACGGTAATGTCGAGACGGCGGGCTGCACTTTGAATGTCCTCCAGCTACGCAAGCGCGCAACCTTGCTGCCAGCTCTTCATGGCGGACATATCTCTGCAAGGCAAGGTCGCTCTCTCCTTGGAATCCTGGGTCAGGAACTCCTTTCGCGTGACGATCCGCCGCACGCCGGCAGCCACCAGGGCCATAAAGCATCGCTTGCACGGTGGCATCGTGATCTGAGTGGAATTGCATGGAGCCTCGCGCCTCGAGTCTACCTGCCGCATGTTCAGGCGAGGCACGTAAACCGAGGAGCCTTCCGTGGACCGCCTCAGGAAGCAAATGCCAGACTCTAAGCCTATGCCCTTCCCTTCCTTCTCTCTTTCCGACTGCGCGAGCATGGGCCCTCTTCGGCCAGGGCGCCCCAGCCGCGCGCAGCGGCCGATGGCGTTCACCTCCGCGTGGAGGTCCGAGGCCGGGCGCCTCGCGAAGTGCGAAGCGGGGCAAACGGCTCGGGGCTCGAGTCGGCTGCGTTGCGTCCCGGGCACTTGGCATTCGGTTCCCACACTGGGCCGTTCACGTGGCCTGGAAATGCGGGAAGAGTTCTAAGAGTTTGAAAGGTGTCAAGGACCCGCCAGACCTGCCTGCAATGATCATGCCGGACTGGTCGGCAATGGCACACCCCATGCTTCCGGCTTTGCAGCTCGAGTTGCGTGCCAGCAGCAGGGCAAGGTCGATGCCTTGGGCATGTCCAAAGTGCGAAACTGTGCTGCGATGTCCTTCTGTGCCTTTAAGATCTGCCTTCAACCGCCTGCAGAAAGCCCAGTGGCCGTTGCAGTCTCCGCTCAAGTCTTCCAGAGGGGTCCAGCCGAAGCTCTGGATGTCCTCTTAATATGCTCTGCGTCTCTGCACCCCCTGCACTTTTCTCCGACTCGTCCTTTGGAAGCGCATCAGGCGCAAGTCCGAGAACCGGTGGACATGGCACTGGTGGGGCTTCAGCCATGCGCAAGTGAACTGAAGCGCTTCCTGTGCAATGTAAAACGTGTTTCTACCCAAGGGTCTTGTTGCATGACTCCTTTGGAATTGCTGGACTTCCATGACAACTCGAACTCTTCTCTTGATCTATGTGTGTGTGTGTGTGTTTGTGTGTCAGCTGGCCGAGCCATCAGGGCCGTCAGACCGATCCGCTCGCACATCAGCACAAAACTATGCAACTTGCAACATCCGAAAACCTCGTGCCAAGCTCCCCCGACGGTGCTTTCAGAAAATGCTTAGCTTCAGTCCAAAGGGTCTTTGCCCAGACAGGACCAGGCTGTCTCCCGCCTGCGCAGCCTTCGGGACTGCGGGTTTCGGTGCCGGTGCCGGACTCGGCCGCGAGGAAAAACGCTGCGCCCTGAAGCGATAGCAACACGGAAACGAGCTGAAGGGGTGAAGCACTGAACTTGGGCCACGAGAGCACGATGCATCATGCTAGCGTTGAAGATCATCGCTTTGGACCTCTGCCCTCTAAGACTAAAACAAAAGGGCAAGTCTGGGCCCAACACCTGTCCAGTCCAGGCCTGCTTGAAGAGCTTTGGCCCTGGCGATTCAAGTGGGTCCAGTTTGACATGCCCGTGTCACTCGCCGGACTGCGTTTTCAGTGCAGACTCGGAGATGTCAGAGGATCATGATGTCGGAAGTTCAGAACCGGCCCCTCCCTTTTCATCTCATCAAGCTGCTCAGACAGTTGGGCAAGATGCGTTCGAACGTTCGATCGCTACTGATGTCCCGGCATGTCCAAGCCATGTGTGGTCTCCTGCTGCCAGCTGCTGTCGGCGTCTTCCCAGTCCTCGTCTTCCCAGTCCTCATCTTCCCAGTCTTCCTCCTGGTCAGGGTACGCGCCGCGGCCTGAGCCCACAAGCCGCTCCAGTGCCCATCCTGCCAATCTTCGGCTTCTTCCCACGCTTCTCCATCCCATCCATCCCACTCCTTTTGATTGGAAAAATCAGACGACAGGCAGTAGCAAACGCATGGGGATGCGCTTCTTCTAATCCACAACTTCCGTCCTCGTCCTGCCATCTTTTTGATTTGTCCTTGGCCTTACAGAACAAGCATTAGCGGAACCCCTGAAACGACAACGTGCTGTGATGTGCCACTCAAATCGCACTGACTATACGGCTCTGCACCCTCGCCTCGCCCACACGCTGCCGCTTGGCCTTCAGAGATGGCCACTGTGCACTCAGTGCACTCAGTACTCGCCTCTTCCCCTCATTTTGGGGCGCCGCCGATGGGACCGCCGGGACTGCGGGAGCCGAAAACCGGCCCTGGGCTTGCCCAAGCGCTGGCCGCGGCGGAGGCCGTGGCGGAGGCCGTGGTGGAGGCCGCGGCGGCCGGGGTGGCGGCGCGGAGCTGGGCCTGCGGCTCAGAGGGTCCCTTCTTCTTTCTGGGACTCTCAGACTGCAAGGCAAAGAAAGCGCCCGGATGCGCCCAGAGTCTTTTCCTCCTTTGCCCGTCAGGCAAGTCTCGGCTTTCGTGCCAAAGTGGTCACAGGAGCTTCGCGTGGCCGTGGCGGACCCAGCGCCGTGCGCAGCGCATGCAAGGCAATGCCTGACAAGGTCACAGAAGGTCACACGGCTGCACATCTTCCCTGGACTCGATGTGCCTGCTGCCACGCCCACATTCAGTGAGTCCAGGCCGTCCAAGTTCTCTCCCGCACGTGAGATGCCAACGAGCCTAAGCGCTGAGGTCTTGCCATTTCTAGTGAGACCACTGTTGCCGCAAACGATCAAGTCGCGCACCGGTCACAGCCACGCCGCACCTGGAATGTGGCATGCACTTTCTGGCACTTTAAGACGTTAAGATTCTTCACCGCCCCGAGACCCAGCGCCTCAGTGCGAAGGCCGGGGCCTTCTGGGCCGAGCAGGAGCAACACGCCCTGGTCCTGCGGTAAAACCGACTGGTGGTGGTTGCGGGACCCTTTGCCCGTGGCTGGCAGGTCCAGCTGGGTCTGCAGCTCTTCCAAGGAACTGTAGGGAGGCTCTCTCCTCCCGAGAAGCTGTTCCCGCTCACTCTGCGAGTGCCGAGCACTTGCCTGGGCAACTCCGGCTCTGCCGATTCCACCGGCAAGGCCGCGCCGACTACCAGCCAGCCCTGCCGCTGGGCCCTGCAGCCAACTTGAAGCACTTGGAAGTCTCACAACAGCCCTCCACCTTGGAAGAAGAGTCTCTAGATCCCTCGAGTGGAAGATCTCCATCGTCTCACCCGCTCCGGCCTGAGAGGAAGGCACCCCTCCGTCACGGGATTTAAACCAAGGCATTTGGCATGTCAAGCTTGCTGAGAGTCACACAGATGCTTTGGCCGCCACGGGTGAATAACGGGCACATCCATTCTCACAGATCACGCCTGAGGAGGGGGGGCAGTGGCGTGCCGAAACGACACGGGAAGAAGTGCGAACCTGCCTTCTACGCCGAAGAAGGCTGCCGAGCGCAGAAGCGAACCGAGGTTCATAGGGTCAGTAACGCCCTGCAGTTCAAGACGGCAACGGGTTCGAGCCGGAGCCGTTCCCCTGCCTCGAGGGCCAACCACAAAGCCCCCTTCGAAGGTCTTGGCAGCTCCTGAAACACGCTGACACCGACAACGCCCCTCAGTGACTGCATGTCTCCTCCACCGTCTTGACAGAGGGCTTCGTGCACTTCAGTACCAGTCCTTGCTGAGCCCATTGTGCACAGGACAGGTAGTGTTCAAAAACCTTACGCGGAAAACACTGCTGTTCCCTCTTAGTGATACTGTATGTCATTCATGGCTTCCGAAACAAAACCGACCGCGCAAAGAACGTGCCCCATCCATGCTTCTGAATCGCAAACACAGGCAGCATCCAACACACGCAAAGGCATGCTTTCCCACCTTGATGAGGGCGACCTCCACTGTGTTCATCCAGCACATCTCGTTTGAAGCACCTGGACATCTGACAGGACGCTGAAATTGGTGGTTGCTCCTTCTTGCGGCATTTCTCATTCATCGGGATGGGTTTCAGAGGAGTTCACTCCCCGCCCCTCTTTTCCAACCAAGGGCCGTGAGTGTTGTTCCTGGGATGGTGGGTTTTGCCAAGCTGCGCTGTAACATCTCAGACGCCCTTTCGAAGATACGGACCGCTTCGGCATGCAATATTGACCGTGTGCTTATGATATCGCCGGGTGCAAATGCGGTGAGTATCCTCTCGTTAGCCAACGACAGGGATTCTCTAATCAAATGTCTTCAACATCATGCCGTGGATGCTTTGCTTGCATTGGAGTGTTTAGTGCTGGTCGCAACTGCAAGAGAAAGGGCTGAAGGTGAAGAAGCAGAGTTCAGTTGCATGCAGGGCACCGGAACAGCTGCACTCCCAGCGACTTGCTGCGCTCCTCAATTTCCTGGCGCGCCTCCGGCATGTGGGAGGGGTAACATGCTCACTTTCCAAGGACTTGGCACCAGGGTATGGCCTCGTCATCCTTCCTGAGCGAACATTGGAGTCAGCGGGCTTTGTGTCCCAGAGATTGGTTTGGTGTCAAGCTGCCTCTCCACAGTCACCGGGCCCCTCCTCTGTTGGATCCAGAGGGTCTTGAAGGTTCGCTTCCCCGCCCGCAGTGCAAGCAGGATCGGGTACACACCAAAGAGATACTCATTCCTCAGTCGGGCGCGAAGAGACAGAGCTATAGCAGCTAGAAGCTACCCCCACGGCACTGAGCCAGAGCGAGGCGCAGGTTGTAGAACCCCGGCTTCGCCGGTCTCCTTCCGCCCCGAGAGGTCCGCGCTGGGCTTCGGGCGGCTCCCAGGCTCTTGGCGCCATCGCTGGCCAGGGAAAAGGCCAAGAGCATTTTGACTTTTGAGACGTCCGTGCGCGAAGGTCGCAAGATTATATTTGCTCTGTTCCATGAAGGCTCCCTGTGGGCTGTTCAACTACGTCTTGGCGGTCCCTGAGCTGGACATGGCTGCTGCGAACGGGCCCTGTGCGAAATGACGGCTTCAAGGCACCTCTGGTGTGCTGGGGCCCTGCCTGCTCCGGCCACCATGCGCTGCGTTGCGCTGCTGCCATGGCATTCTGCTTTAGTCTACCATGCTGCTACTGCTATTTACTGGGGGGACGCAAAACACTTCACGTCAAAAGCGTACATACAGCTTTGCAGGATGCTTCCCGCACGCGTTTGCAAAATCCGAAGCTGCCATTAGACTGTCCAATCGGATTGACATTGCCTCTGAACAAAAAGCATTGCTTCCTGCTTCCTGCAGACGCATTCATCGCATCTCGTCTCTCACCTTTTCCGCTCAAAAGTTGCGCTACACTCCTGTGGAAAAAGCTCCTGTTCCAGGAGCATGACTCGGAGGCAGGCAAGCGCGCCGGCGGCAGGCGGTGGTTTGCAGGTCGGCTTTTTGATCCTAAAGCTGTGAACCCTTCTTGGAAGAGATACAGCGACAGTTTTGTCGCCATGATTTCTACACGACAACAAGAAATCAAGACATCTGCTGCGGGAGACTTTGGTGTGCTCACAGGGTGCAAGCGGCTGGAGGCTCCACGTACCACGGAGCTTCCGAGAGCGTCGATGACGGCTTCACATGTTCAGATGTGGGAGGTCAGCTCACGAAGCAGGCTGCCTGTCAGCTCTTTCCCTCTTTCCCTCAAACACGAGAAGCCCACCGGAATCGCCTGGCACGCAAGGAACTGCAATCCTGACATCACTCCTGGCGGTGAACGCATCAAGGGAGGCCATCTGCAAGGAGACTATCCACCTTGGGGCCCGACCTATGCAGAAGCTCGCATGGCATGTCCGGATCATCCATCCCTGGCCCAGGCGGACAGTTCCCCAGCTAACCCAAATAACGTACTAGCAACTCATCAACTGCCGGTACCATCGACACCCCTTGTCACCGGCTTTGCGACTTCTGAACATCCAACACGTGATAGCAACCACCTATCCCGCCTGACCTCCCCAAGGTTAAACCCAACAGAACGAGGATTCCGAGGAAAGCGACTGAGGATTGGAAGACCAAGGAGTTGGATCCTCGAGAGAAGCAGAAGAGGGCAGGATGCTATGAGCAATCCTCACAGACAGGGCCTCCTAAGCACGAGTCGGAGCTTCTACGCGACATCCGGCGATATCATGTCATGTCGATCACGGGCCCTTGCCCCCTGCCAGCAAAGCGGCGAATTAAGCCGGAGCACCATCCGGATTTCCGCGTTGCCTCAGTACAACCAGCAGGGCATCGAAATCTGCTAACTAGTCATCACCCGCTTGGCTCAGGACTTGTGAGCAAAAAGATGCCTCGTCCAGCCATTTTGCCGTTTGGGAACGACCTCGACATCACCGGAATTCGAGCTGGGAAGCCCTGAGTGCCCGATGCTCAGCTTTGGGCACGCTTGCTGCGTGGGGCAAGGAAGACTGAGAAGTACTCCTTTCAAGCTGCACAGACAAGTGCCTGTCTCTGCTCCATCAGCTCCGCACGGAAACCCATCCATAAAACAGATGGCATGCAGCAACACGTCATCTTCTGATCCAAGCCCAAAGCCCGAAGCCGGCCTTGTCCGACTCGTGGAACTCCGTGTTCGCAGCGCCGTGCAAGACGTGGTGGCGGTCATTCCAAAAAGCCTCCTCACCAACATCCCTCTGAATCCGATGCAAAGCAACGATTGTCAATTGTAGGATCAGAGATTCCAAGTAAGCGAGGGATAAACAAATCGCAGAGCAATCTTCGAAGGCTAGGATACAAGTTCCAGTCTCATTCTGCGGACAGCTTGGCATGTTCTTGTCACCTGGTTTGACGAGTCGACATGCTCCACAGGTGATGCCTGCATCGCAAATTCCGGCTTTCCGGAGCAGGACCTGCAGCTGAGTTGGCATGATCGTGGACTGCGGATGTCATGACAGCTAGCTGCTAGCTCTATCCTTCTATGCACTCTGCTCGCTAGTCGCTAGCCCGTGTCAGGATCCCGAAAATGCCCAAAGCCTTTCCAGGGAACCGTTCGTCCGAGTTTTGCCGAAAGTGTCGCCTGAAATCATCATTGTTGATGCCGTGAGCAGAAACAGAGAAAGAGCTAAGCTTCCTCTCGGTCAGCCCTACTTTGCTCAAGCAATGAATCTGAGGCGTCGCTCCTTTTTCCGCATTCAGTTGACGGCCGTCCATCTGTACAAAGGAGCCGCATGTGGGTCGTGCGCTCCTGACAAGAATAGGGTGCTGCGACGCAGCTTGGCGCCAGTGCCTCCTGCTCGTGGCAGGACTGCATACACCGGCCAGCCAGATCGAAGCGAGGACGGGTGTCCTGTAGCATCCATTATCCATGGCTTGACTCTGCTCAGAAAGACACAACAACTGTGCAAAGGCTGTCCTGAAGGAACAAAACTTGCAAATTCTGTGGATCCTCAATGGGATACCATGGCTTTGGACAGCCAGTCCAAGCCCTCCCAGATGCCAACACCTTGCGGACACAGAACTGTAGTAGATATCACCAATCACGATGATCACGGTGTTGGAGCCTTTCGTGGCACTCGTGGGCTGCACGAACCACTGGCGGCCACGCAGCTCGCTGAGGCCCAACTTCTCGGCCACCTCGAAGCAATGCTCTGGCTGGGTTTTCTCTTGATGACACTTGAAGTGAGCTGTCACCATCTTTTCTTTTATACAAACCCTGACACGGTCTTGCATGCTGTCTTCAAAAATGCTAGCAGTGACTTGCTCACTTCAAGGTGAAGTTTTGCGAGGCAAACGACCAATGCCTGGAAACTTCTGAACCTCTCCGACTCCTATGGAAATCGCGCCTCATCCGGCGGCAGAGCATCGGGCAAGTCCTGTACTTCTTACGACTGGCGACTCTCGCTCTGAGCCTCAAAAGACCGAGTGTTGACTCCTGCTTGTTGGCGAGTATCAGCAGAGCGGCCTGCAGATCGGGAGCGAGGGGCCGCAAAGCCGAGAGCCCCCGGAGCCCTGGCCTGTCCCAGCTCCGGGTCCTTCAACATCTGCCAAAGCTCCTGCAGAAACAGAACCCTGCCAACGAAGGCCTAAGGCGGCTGCAAGGCGGCCAAGGCTCCTCACGTGCGTCCTGGAGACGATCGCGGTCCGTGCCTCGGCGCTCAATCCTCCGAAATCCATGTCCACTACACTTCATCCAGGACATATCCAGAATTTCAGCAAGACCATGAAGCACACAGTGCCAGTCGTCACCTGTCAAGTACCCTGCTTCCCCCTGTGAGTGACTTGGTGCTCGTTGTTGGCAACGGTTGTGTTTTTTCAGACAGCTTTCGTGCTGCACCCCTGAGTTTGCCCTCAACTGCATCTGCGGAGCCACGAACATTTAAACAAGTGACAGCACCGAGATTCACTGGTGTCAGTACACGCGTCCCTCCGTGCTTCAGAAAACTGCCAGGCTGCTGTCCAAGACGAAGATGGCCCCATGAGTACCGAGGAAATAATGTCGCCAAAGCCCGCGAATCTTGTCCTGGCCTCCAGAGAAAGTACTTACACAGGCTATGCAGCCGCTGAATGGAGCAATGAAACCGGGCGCTGAAAGATTTCAGAGAGGTTTCGGAACATGAGCCAATAGGAGCCTATCACCACAGGCTACACAAAACTTGGAATTTCAAAAGGAATGCTCGCGAAGTCCAGAAGACCAGCAGCCTGAAACTGTGCGCGTGGCCCAAATTAAAGCACGATAGCGAGAGGAGTAGGGCAGCAGGGTCGGCAAAAAGGCTGCCCGGGTTCTGGACCTCAGCTCCAGTTATGCTGAGCACAGCACCTATCGCAGGGAAAGGGGCCCGCCACTCCGACAAAGACCACGATAGCCATTTAGCCAGCCAATAGAAGCCACACGCCCGCATGCAAGAACATGGAAACACGAAAGAAGTGCTCTTGGCCCGTCAAGAAAAGCTGCTGTTGATTCGGTATCTGGTCAGTTCTTTCTAGCAAAATATTGAATCATCTTGTAATTTTGCGCACAAAACGACCAAAACTCAGCGAACACATGGGAGAGTTTCGATGCAAGCATGTCCTTTGCAAATGCAGCCCTAGATTGGAAGTGGGATCACGGACTCATTTGTCGACTCCGGTTTATCATATATCTTAAACACACACCCCTCCCCCTATTGGGCGATTCAGG